TTCCTGCTGTATCGGGGTAAATTAGTCTAATTACACGTGGCAGTTTTATTTGCTTGTGATGTAATGTGAAATGAGGTCCTGCCTCCCTCCAAAAAGCCCGAGCCAATTAATAAAGCTTTTAAGCTCTTTGTCACAGGCCACCGTGGAGGTCTGCAGAGAAGAACTTTAATCCAATAAACATTTCATTTAGATCATGAAAAGAAAGCATGAGGAGAAGCTCCTACAAGAGAGGGTGTTACCAGCAATTCTAGCCATGAAGGGATGTGAGGAATTTGCCAAATTAACCAAGAGGCCTTCATATTTAACACATAAATGTGTCAAAACTAATAATAGAATAATTTAATTTGAGTTGAACCTTATATTGTTAAAATTCTAAGAAGCCACAACTGTTTTCTTCAAAGACTTTACTGTTGAGCTGGATGGACAGGGCAAGGGGAGGTTGTGAGAAACCCAGATAGCAAATAGCACTGGCCGAAGCTGGTGGAAAAAAAAAAAAAAAGGAATAGATAATTAGGTGTAATTAGCGTGTATGAATTGTTGTCTCCCTGCCCTTGGCTTGAATAAATTTTGGAGGAAAAAAAAACCCTAGTGGTGAAAACGCTTTGATGTAAGAAGAGTCATTGTGGTTTGGCAGCATAAAGGCAGTGTTTTATACTTCTTACATAATGGTTGTGATACAGAAAGAGTGAATGGACCCCGCACCCCCCAGCCTGCTTTACAGCAAGGACTTTTGGATTCCCTAGAAACAAAATGCATCAGAAGTTTTCAGTTGTTGGTAATGAGGTAGTGGACCTCATCAGAGCTAAGCGTAAGCCATCTTTAGCCTTTGTTTAGATCTTAATCGCATTTTTTTTTTTTTCTGGGAAATCCAGTTTCGTAAATCAATACTTTTTTTTTTCTTTTTTCTTTTTTTTTTTCCCTGCCTGCCAACAGTTCTGGCTGGAGCAAAGGCTAATAATGGGAAAAGAAATACAAATCAAATGTTAAAAAGAAAACCAACAGCAAATAAGAAATCTAGACAAATAACTTCATCCAGGGTATAATTCCAATGAAGTAGATGTATTAGGGGTGAATGTGACCCTTACCTTACAAAACATGATGTTATAAATTTGGAGTGAACTCTTGGCCTTTGTTTTTCACAGACCACAGCTTGCTTATTAGGAGACTGAAAGTTACAGTCATGATTGGTTCTTTAGCAAAACTGAATGTTTATACAGTGGTTTGTGGCTTGGTTTTGGGTTGGGCTTTTTTTTTTTTAATTTTTTTATTTATACTTAGTCTGTAAGAAAGATTCTTTCTTAAGGGATGTGAAATGGGGAGAGCTGTTCAGTGTAGTTCTTAATGCATGGAAGTTTACTCTGCCTTTCTTCTGCTCCCTGACTGGAAAAAGGAGAGGCTACTTGTCTCCTACCCAGCACAGCCACATCTGTACCGTCTGAATTCTTTAACTTTTGTCTGAATATCTGAAATACTAGTCACAGAGCAGTACATTTTAAGAGTCTCTGTCTTTATTCATGCGCCATTATTTTACAAGTTAATTGTCTATTTTTCCTCTTCCTAGGGGGTAGCTGATTTGTAGCTAGACATTAAAATAAGTTATTGAAAAGTTGTACAATAGATCGTATGTTCCTTGTGGTAGCAAGAATAGTGGGGTTTCTTAGTTGTTAAAGTTTGGAAGGCTGGAATGTAAACTTGTGCAACTTCCACTGAATTAATTTTACCTCTAAATTTATCTCTGCTGAATTCTTCAGTTTAAAGTTTAAGTGTTCTTCTCACAAGTGTAAGAAAAAGATTTTTTTTTTTAAAAATTATATTTGGCAGTATTTCACTTCCCAGATCTTTGTACTCTAGGTCCATTTAAAAATAATTCACAAATAAAATGTTTGTCATTCAAAATTAACCTGAGCATGATTAGTTTCATTGACACTGTACAGTATTCTTGGGTGACACTTTGAAAGTTTTCCTTAAAATTTGTTTGTGGGGTTTTTTTTGTGTTTTGTTTTCTTACAGCATTTGCAGTTCGAACAAGCATGAAGTGTCTAAGGCTATTGTAACAATTTCCCATATTTTGTTATTGCAGAAGAATATAGAGGAAAAGACTCTAAAAAAACTTAGTTAACCCCTTAAAGCATTGCACTATTTTGTAGAACAAATAGCCTTTTGTACTTGAAGTTGATTTGATCTGTGAAAGGCAACACCTGAATATCATGCAAGACTAAGTAATTATGCCTGATTGTAAGGGTGGTTTTTTTCAGGTATAGGTCACAGGATATTCAGTTAGGGTAGAGTATGTACAAAGCTAAGAAATATGCAGATTTTCTGTTGTAAGATTGTGTAAAAATTATTTACAGTTAATACTTGCATAAAGGTTAGAAAGGTTGATGAAGTGATATTTAGTTTTGCTTTACTATTCACTGCGTGTCAGAATGTAATTATGACTGATTCATGAAACTGTCTTAGCAATGAACCATCTTTATTAAAATGCTGATCAAGACAAGAGCTGACAGTAATAAAGAATAGAACATTTTAGTCTTGTTGCTTTTGAATGATTGCTAATTACCCCAGAGGTCATGTATACTGCTTATGAGGATTCATTGACATTTTCTTTAAAGTCTACTGTTTCAACAACATCTGAACAGGGAGACAAAAACTGTATGCACACCCATCAATGCTTGGACCGAGTTTTTATGCACCACAAAATACCTGATGATTCCTTTTCTCCTTCCCCCTCCCCTGACTATATCTCCTTCCCATGTATCTGTGTTGCAGAAAGTTAGGAGTGTTGCAAACTTGATTTACTCTTTTTTTTTATTATTATTTTTTTCTTTAAAACAAGGCCTATTTCAAGCATGTATAAAAGGAGCAGCCCTTTGAAGGTCCTGCATCTGTACCATGCTTGCTCGTGACTTAAAGGTCTGGTTGATCGCCTTTTAGAGCTGCACCAGAGAGGAAACACTGCACTTTGTACGCTTCTCTCAGCACGCTGTGGTGTGGACAGACCTGCCCAGCTTGAGTCCCAGGTGGACCAGTTTCACATTCTGAAAGGTGCTGGTGATCGTCACTTGCTGGTGACTTTGAGAGTACACTAAAGTTAAAACCTGTGGGTCTGCTTTGTAGGTCAGAAATAATTTGTTCATGACACGCTGTGTTTTTGCTTGAGACGGTTCTTGTTCTACCACAGTTATGAATCATTTGGGAAAATGCCAATTGTAATGGTATCCTTTGGATGAAGAAATCTTTTTTTGAAATAGCTCAAGAAAGCATTTTTAAGAAAGAAGAAATAATATTCTGGTTGATAGTCTAACACTATATGGAGTCAAGTAATGAAAAATAAAAATGGTTAAGTCTAATGAGCTCTGTTTACCTGAGGAACTCTTCCGCTGTTTCTGACTGAGGGTTCTCATCACGTGTCTACGTTTTGTGGGATGTGAGAGAATTTTTCTCTCAGGCTGAATGTAAATGTACGAGAAGAATGATTGCCAATGAACAATCTCATTAGTCTCTGATTTGCTGGAGGGAAGGAATGCTACTGGTCCTGTGTATTGTTAATGGAGACCAAATCAGCAGGACAGGTGTGAGGTGTTTTTTGGATATCAGCTAATACAAAGAGTTAGATGCTGAGGATGCATTTGAAAAGGGAAGATGATACCTATGTGGAAATTATGATTCCTTTTGCTCAGAAAAAGTGTTTAGAAGATGCGTTTCTCAATTAGGCATGGCTTGGTTATTAACAGGTGTTCTAACGTGCTTGTTAAGAACTACACAAGAGGCCAAGAGTATTAATTGTGGAGCTTTGTGTGCCTGGGGATAGGACTATACTCCTCTTTACTCATGGAAAGGTGTATTTGATACTGCAGATGCAGTGCTGCCACTGCATTTGCAGGTGTCTGGTTTGACCTGAGTGTGAAAGGCTGAGGAAACCCAGCAGGTGTGGGAATTAAGGTAATGATCATCCCAAGGTGAAGCACTCTCCTATCTCTGTTCCCCTACACCTTCTCTGCGGGTCCTTGGATAGGGTTTGTCTGATCCTGTGGGCTGACACGATGATTTGTATGATTTTGTATGTTCATTTTTAGTGTTTTTTTTTTTTTTTTTAATGACATTAAATTTCAGGGCAGAGAATGACAATTGGGTTGACTTATGGTGGCCTTCAATAAGGATGAGATATCTACTCACCTGCACTATCAAGGGTCATGAGCTGATCACAGTATTTGAGCTCAGAGGGACAGATTGCATTCAGTACAGTGGCCCACAAGGCCTTCTATTAGCATTTCAGCTTTTTTTGTGACACATGGGAAATACATGCCTTGAGAACTTATCCAGTTAACTTTGAATGCCTTTTAAATTTTCTAAAACCTTTGTTCCTCTACTGAATGATCTATCATGTCATATACTTTAAAATGTTTAACTGCTCAAGAAATTAATATCTACCCTTCTTGATTGTAGCAACAAAGGAATATTAGAGGTGCTTACAGGAAGAAAAATGCATTTATATTAGTCTATATTTAATAACTTTCTACAGTAGGTATACTGAAAGTCTAATTTTATCTAGTTTGTCTGAGGATTGTCATTTTAGGTGTTCTGTCTCGAGTTGAGCCTTGAGGCTTTGTCTTTTTTCCTTCTGGAATAAAAAGTTTTCTGCCATTTCAGTGGATATGAGTGCGTGATCATGCTGTATTTTTAACTTACTAATTGCGTTTTCAATTCTGTAATTGTATTTGTTCTTTGTATACATAAATACATAAATGACTTCAAAATAAATGGTATGACTAATTAATTTTATGCATTTGAATTGAATAGGGTAAGTCAGACTTGAAATATCTCAATAGAATAGAAAATCTGTTGGAAGCCGGAGATGGTTCCACAAGAATAGACTAGACTAACTGTAGCTTCAATTTTAAGTATTTATGTCAAAAGAAAAGTAGAATTTTAGCCCAAGTGAATGAAATTTGAAAGTTTAAATCTCCATCTTAAAAAAAGGAAACCAATAGTTACAGTCGTGGCTTTGACAATTAAGTACTAACAATCTGAGCACTCCGGTTAGTTCTTTGGCTGTTGATTAGGATTCTGTGGTGGTGATTAGTGAGTGTAAGGATGCAATCACATCTGTAGGGTTTAATCAGTCCAGTGCTGGATAAGTTAGTCCAAAGATGGAGAGAGAAACTAGAACTTCTTTATGTAATCCTAGTAGGGCTTTTTCCCTTCTGCAAAAAGATGAAGGGTAAAGAGTAGAGCAGCCTACCTACACCCACTCCCCCAACCCCGAATTTGCAGGGTTTGTAAATGGTAGTATTGATTTTTCTGGTCCTATGATGCAGGAGTATAATGTCATTGACAGCTATGAAGGGAGAGAAGGTACGTGGTGCATCCTCTCTGAGGTTCAGTATTTAATTCTTAGAGTTGTGAGCAGTGTTTGTTCTTCACTACTCTGCAACCATCTATCTTTTTTTGGTAAATCTAGTGTTTTAAGTGTTTAGCTTGGAATTATGCAATATTTTGGTGTTGTTTATTTTCTTCTATTACACATTCTGATTGTATACAGTCTTTTTAACATTTAAAGCATTTCTCTTGGGAAAAAAAAAGTCACACATATGAACATTTTGCCCTCTGTACTCCTGTGAAGCAGATAAGTGAATGTTTATGTGCATAGAAACAAAAAACTGTGGTGAGAACTCTGGACTACAAAGGAAACCCCAAAAGGAAAACTTTTGGATCCCTGCTCAGCACATAGCTTCTTTGTGACCTCTCTGACTCTGGCTTTGAGTAAAGGTGACCATGTACTGAATCCTGCTTTAGAACCATCTCCACCGGTACGTTCTTAACTTGGAGGAGAAGTGCTGTTGTTACTGCCTGGCGGTGCGAACAATCCTCCTGTTACAGCCCTTCAGCTCCCTGGTACTGCTGTCACACCATTTCGCTTCTCCACTGCGTAGAGCTCAGTTTGTGTAAATAGCATTCCCGCACCAGTGCATGTTTGTATGCTGCTTTGTTGGCATTAGTTTCTTCCACATTGTCATTTAATGATCGGTTTCTTTATTTACACTTCTGATTTTTTTTTTTATGTTATTTTCCAGTAGCACCTATAGATCTGTACTCTACTGTCATAAATTCACGTAAGGAGAAGGTTGTTCCTGCCCTGCAAAGCTTATAGTCTTTAACAACAGCTGTCATGTTTTAAAGGAATGTTTTTCTGGGAGCATGTTGCTATGCAGATTATAACGTTTTGTTTTAATGGCAGGGACTATCCATTTTATGTATACTTTATACAGTGCCTAAGAGAATAGGTGTGAGTGAGCTTTGAAGTGTCTCAGTAAAAATAATTAATGATGAATAGTGGTGGATACTCACTGATGTGAACCTGTAGAGGGGTTAGGAAATTCTTGTGGCTGTTTTAATTTTGTTTAGAACATGGGCTCTAAATGGCTGGAGTACCTTCCTGAACAGAGCATCCTGAACAGTTCCTGTTAACTGACCCTTACTTCTATGCTTATATCGTGTGTTACAGAAAACTGTTGTATATCAGTTCTGGTTTTCCATTTTGTTGATGTTTGGTTCAGTTGGCTTTTGCCTCCTAAGGGAGCAAAAAATCAGGATATAACAACTGTATTTTATTTATCTCATAACAGGATGCTGCTATTGCATTTCTGGCTGAAAGGTCCTATAGCCCAGAATATTTGACAGGCTTGCTTGTTTGTTTTTTTTTAAATAAACTACATTATGTTATATCCCATTAGAATCAATAGTAGTACATACATTGTAGGCATACAAGACAAGGTTTGTAAGGAAAAGAAATAATCTTTCATTTAGGCAACTGTTTGTAGCTTAAAAAGCTTACATAAATAACCTTTTGTGCACACAAGCTCTTCTTAACTAGTGTCACTGATGATAGTGATTTTTCCTGAATAGTGATAATACTAATTATTTGAAGAAAGAGAAGAGGGAAGACAGAAGAAATGCATCTACTTCATGGCTCTATCAGTAGTATTTACATGTACAGTTCTTACCTCCAGAATTCATTCACTGTAATGTTAAATCATGAAGTCATATAATACTGTCAGTGCATTTAAGGAGTGTTAAGTTCATAAGCAGAACACAAGTGGACTAAAATACTGTAGCACCAACTGCTGATACACATATTTCAACAAGCTGCAGTAACCTGCATACTGTTGCCCAGTATCAGTCTGTATTTGAGCGCACAGGATGTCTGCCCTACTCGGCAGTCGTGAGCAGCTGAGCCACGGGCATTGCTGTAAATATCAGCACAATAAATGTACACCAGCTAGAGTGTTCAGGTGCACTTTTTCTTTTTTCAGCCATATGATAACCATGCTACACTTTTAAGTGTTCACTCTTCACTCTATATGTAGCACAACACTCAGAGAGCGGTAGAGTTTGTAAACCCATCTTGAAGGCCAAAGAGATGAGGCTGAGTTCAGGCAAAATTTCCTATCTGTTGTTTCCAGGAAAAAAACAAAATGATAAACAGCATTATCCGAATATCCAAAGTTAATCTAAATAATTTCCTAATCAGCATAGCTGTAGTGATGTGTTTGGGTTTTTTTCCCTACTAACATGAAGAAAATAATACTTGAGCTAATCTACTACTTTGGAAAAAGAAAACATTAGGTGGAAAGATGCTGAGCACCAGTGCCTGGCAGAGAAAAGCTGAATATACTGGCTTTACTGTGAAATTTCAGGAATCTTCCTTCTAGCCTTGACTGCCAGACTGATGCTGAAGAAAAGCTTAAACATCCTCCCTCCCTTGTGCATATTATTACATGCCTCTGGAACTTTTTTCTTCTGCTCTGTTATTCCCTTTCTTTGTAAGCTTGCATGAAAAGAAAGGGAATAGATTATAATAATATTGTAGCACCAATGCTATTGTGTTTGCAGTAGCCTTAGCCCAAGATAATGATTCGATTAGCATGGCTTCTTCACTTACCGGAATTAAAGATACATGGATTTTCCTGGGATTCTGTGCTTTCAGAATGATTTTTTTTTATTTTTTTTTCACCTTCTTTCTTCAGTTGTATATCTTTGCAGGGAAGTTGGAGGTTTAAAATAGGTATAGAGCCTTCGGTAATAGCCAAGGGAAAAAAAAAAAGTGCCATGAGTCATCACAGTTACTCCTGCAGATATTTGTAATCTGTAAGTCCTATGCAATGCATTTTGTTCAAAAGGGCCATTGTTCCTTAAATCACTGATGATAGTTCTTCTAAAACTGAAGGGTTTTTTTTTCCCCTGTAACGTAGTTGCTATAAATGAGATTTGACATTTCCAATTTTGATATCTGAATGGCCTCAAGGAGGCTATGAAAAATTTGACACATAGAATATGAAATGCTTAACAAGAGTATTAAAGATAAACTAATAGTTCATAGTGCAGTGAAGAAGCAGAGTAATTTGGTGGATTCTAGCGATCTAAAGAATTTTAATAGTGTTGAGTTACCTACCAGAAAAAGTTTTATTGCTTTAATTAAATTGCTGATAGAGGTGTATTTTCTAAAATATTAAAACTTTTCCTCCCTTTCTTTTATAGCTTCTTTGACTTCTAGCTATGTAACACCAAGAAGTTCTGTATGTTGGCAGTAGTAATAACAGATAAGCAGAGCTATTCCCTTTGCCAGAGGGTGTAAAATCTTGATCCCACTGAGGTTAGTGAGAATTTTGCTCTCAACCTCAGGCCTTGAATCAAAAAATGCACCTTTTAGTGCAGCTGGTTTTGAGGTTTCTAACAGAAGCAATTATTGTGACTACTTGTGGACATCTATATCATGCTTGGAATTTTTACAGGTTGTTTAAAGGGGAAATAAAAGATCCTTTTCTGAGTCAATTCGACATCACAAAAATGAAACAAGATCTTTTTGATATAGAGCTTTGTTTATTCCCCTTTATGCTTCAGTCCATTATGAAAAAAGACTTCGTGTGGTTCATGTAGTTGATGTTTGACTCAAAATTTTTAATCTTCGTAATCGAAGGAAAAAGAAAAATATTTTTAGCGTGTAACACAGAAGTAGTTTCAGTTGTTTCTGCTAGAATTTGGTTGTGGTCTGTTAAATTTTTATTGCTCCCAATTTTCTATTTCTAAATATATATTCTTTAATGTGAAAATAATTATTTTTTTCACACACACCCCCAACAAAGCACTACTCCAAGAGAATGAGTAATATCCACCCTCATTTCATTCCCTGTGCTTCCAGTCTGTATTAATTTTCTAGCTGATGGACTTTTGAAAATTGTTACTTTTTTGTTTTGACTATGAACGATGTCCAGCTTATTTCTTTGCTTCGATAATTGTAAAGGAGACTTCAGTTTTGTGATCTTGATTTCAGTTTTGCAGAAGATATTCGTGCTGATGGTTTATTACAGCAGTGTGTCTTCTCTCGAACACAGACAACAATAAATATAGCTTTGGCTTGAGGAAAGCTATTCTCTTTTTTTTGTTTGTTTGTTTTTGTCTCTCTAGAAGTACTGCAGCACAGTCCAGCTTGATTCTGGGATAGACTACAGGAAACGAGTGCTTCCTGCTGCTGGAAAACTCTACTACCTGTAAGCTTATTTATGATACGGTATTTGCCATCTTTTTCCTTCTTATTAGCCAATAATTCCCTAGTCAACGGGAAATGAAAAATGTATAGTAGAATTAGCAGAGTGTGACTTTTCCTTTCTTTGCCTTCTGGTCCATTTTGTTCAGCAAACCGCCTTCCATTATGCCTTGATATTAACTTCATTAAACTACATTTTCAGTATCCACACTAGCATCATTTATAATGTTTGACTGAATAAAAACTAATTAGATTTTTTTGGGAGGTGTGGTGTTTGGAGAACTGAAGTGACAGATGGTTAGAAAGTAATGAATATCCTCTTGTAAGAGACTGCACAATTCTCTTATAATAGAAGAACATCCTTATTGTATTTAAGTAATTAAGTATTTATAGAAATCCAATGACAAGGATTCATTTAATGTTGGGTGTTTCCAGTGCTGCGGATTAAAAAAAAATCAGCACCCTCCTATTTTGACAGATTGTTTCTGTTTATCCTGATAAAATTTCTTTAGCCCTTTATTCTATATTTGCAAATAAATATATTTTAAAATACTTCTCACAGTTGTGCTTATGGTTGCAGTGTATATCTGCTCAATAGAAACATCCTCTTTTTTTTTATTAAATACTTGGAAACCTTTGCATTGCGGACATTTTTCTGTCTTGTTTTTGCTCTTATAGCATGATTTAATCAATGAAAACCTGAGCAAGGCAGACAATAATAACTTAAAATGAGATTTATAACCATTGTGTCTTTCAACCCAACATACAATATTGATTTAAATATCATGTTTCCATTAAGAAAGGTGCACTATTTTAATCGATGTGACAGATATTTGAAACCAACCACTTTATAAAGTATCCATATCACTTTATAAAGTTAAAAATTGTAGTTGTTTGTCTGGAATGAGGAGTACTGCTTAGTAGAATTACAGCAGGTTACAGCACTTTTCCTACTTTGGGAAGGAAATGACAGAATTTTATATACGGAAAATGGGTCAAATGCAGGTTCTCTATCTACTCAAGAAAAGTAACTCTTGTTCTATATTTTTGCCTGGCTCTATTTTCTTTTACGTTTAGTGGTGTCTGCTTGGAACCACTGTTTTGAAGCCGCCACTGTGATCTCAGAATTGCTCATTGTGGCTCTTGTATGTGCATAGTATGTGTTTTTTTTTTTTGTTTTGTTTTAAAATTAGATACTATACAGTATTTTGGCACAGATTTTTGAAACTTATTTAGCAGTCTTGCCCCCAGAAGAAAATATTCTTGTCCAACATGTTTACATTCCCCTATAAATGGTTATAGTATCATCATCACTTTTTTTTTTTTAATCCTCTTGATGCTTCATAATTTGTGTAGCCTTTTCTTCATTTAAAATATGCAGTAAAGGTCGCTTAAAGCTGTTCATACTCATCTGAAAGCAATCAGTGTAACACAATTACAGGATTCCTGATCAAAGCAACTTCCTTGATCTCAGTCTCAGGTGTCTATTTTCAAAACAAACTTTCTTGGCAATTAGGTGCAAATATCTACCTAGGCATCATATTTGGCTGTTTCTTCTTGTAGCCCTTACATCAAACTTTTTGATAATTATATGCATACATGTGTGCATACTCTTTGATATGTATGTACCCTTTCCCTCTTTCTGGTTTTGTATGTTCCTTTTCATTTGTCATTTTGTCACAGGAAAGCAGCACACAAACATCGATCTCGAGAGGAACTTCTTTTTTTTATAGTCTCCTGTTCAGAAAAGGTTTTTTTAAAAGCATTTGAAATGGCATTTGCAGAAGTTGGGGTTTTTTTCCCCAAAATTCTTTTTGCCTACAATGTTTGCCATTGTTAAGTTTGAGCTAAAAAGTAGTTGTTTCAGTTCTGCTGTTAACATTTTTAAGGTGCCTAAGGCCTAATGAACAGGAAAGTAATTGTGTAACACGCTGATAATCACTTGTCATTTAGAGGAGGTCTAGAACTGTGTGAAGCAATGGAACTAGAGTGCATCCATGATCTATAAAAGTAGACTTTTCACACAAAAGGAGATCATACAAACTTCAGTGAAGCGTTCCGTATCCTAGTTCTAGTTTATTGTCTACTATAGCATTAATTTACTATTCTCAGCTTTCAAACATAGCTAGAAGTATTATCTATCTTCTTTAAGAATGAATCACAGAAAGGCTGGCCCTCTAACCCATTCAGTGACAAAAAATATTCACTAATCAGACTGATTTATAATTTGTGTGGCAACCAGAAGATTAATATAAACTTTACTTCAGCCCCCAGCACAGATATTTTGTATTTTCACTGTCTGTTGTTGATCTTTTCCCAAATAGCACTGGGGACAGATGGGGGCGAAACTGATAAAATTACTAATACAGAGATCATATTGGTATTTTTAATTTCATAGTTTAATTTTGCAAATTGTTTCATCAATACAATCTGTTGACTTGATTTCTCCCCCCTCCCCCCCCAAGAAAGCTGCTCCAATATTTAATTCACAAAGTCCCCTCTCAGAAATTTCAAAGGATACTTCTTTAGGTGCTTGACTGCCTTGCCTTGTCTATTTGCTCTTATTTTGCATGCAAGATAGAGCCAGAAGCCTTTTTTCTCATTGTGTACACATAGTGTTAATGGATCTGCTCTGCCTGTATTGCCTCATTACTGGAAACAGCTCAAAACACAGAAGTCTTTCAGTGTATGCAAATAAGACCGAATCATCTACCTGAGAGTTAATATTCTCTACTTTTAAGTGTATTCTAAATCTAATGTTTGTATTTAGAGCATAACATCCTGTTCTCTTTTTTTTATGGGCAAAAAGCTAAGCAGGCTCAGGCAGCTGTTTGATGTTGGCTTCAAGTGTTATTAATTTCATATTCTATTATTCTTTTCACTGTAGCACAAGTGAAGCTGATGTGGAGGCTGTCATGGATAAGTTGTTTGATGAGCTGGCTCAGAAACAAAATGATTGTACGTAAGTTAATTTCTCTTGAAAGAGAATACATTTAGAACACAATGCCCAATCTCCACTGACCAATTAATAAGTTCCATTGCTGTATATGGGTTGATGCCACACTCAAGTGGCAGTCATTGTATCAGCATTTTGTCTAATTTATGTGTTGAATCATGTGCTATTATTCATCAAGCTATGCATTTCCTATCTGTAAGAGATGAATTTTATAGTAATTATCCAGAGAAGATTGAGTCTTTGTTCATGTTCCCATAGTAACTAGACCAAGGATTCTAAAAGTGCAAGGCAGAGAGCTGAGGCTGAATAAAGCGTGTGGAACCATTGCAGACTTCACGTTTGAAGAGCTGTGTGACAGAGTGAGTACCCAGTCAAATCTGGATCAGTTAACGCTCAGACTTTTCACAGTTTAAAAAAAAAAAAAACAAAACAAAACAAAAAAAACCCCAAACACAAAAACTCACTATTTTCACAAGTCATACTAAATTAAAAGGGATTTCTTTAACTTGGCAAAAAGATTTTGAATTTAACAGAAAAAAACACAACCCCAAAACGTCCCCAAAAGAACAATAATAATTTTCTTTTTAGTGATACAATAAATTCTCTCCAGTATATCACAGATTGGTTTCAAAAATTCTAATACAGTATGTGCCTGGACTAACATCATTGTTGGAATATTGGTAGTCACAACATATCAATAGGTAAATAGTTTTCAAATACTGTTTTTAAAATCTGGGGTTTAAGTTGATACTCAAGCAAAGTAGTAGTAATCCTGGCACCACTAGAGTAAAGCTGTTGTTGCATGCCTTAGTTGTGGCTAGCTGTACAAGGGCTGTTTAGTTCCAGGCCTTCTCAAAATTTGCCAAATTTTGCTAAGTACTGCCAAATTCTCTGCTAAACATGTGGAGGGTGATTCCTGAAAAGCTCTCTTTGTATATGACCGCCAGTGAGTTTGAAGCCAGTCTCCTGGAAGTTGCATTGTACTTCAGTGACTTCTCTGCCGGCACCTGAAATTATTGTTAAATGATCACAAATCTAAACTGAGCGAATGGCACCTTTGATTCAGAATGCTGACCAGTCATTTGGCTATAACATTATGTTTTCATTTCCTTGTAGCTACCAAGTTAGTAACTATTTGGGCAGAAATTTCCCTGGTTATGTTACAGATGTGTTTTAGGCTTTGTTGATTTTTAGTTTCAGACAAAACCAGTTAGCCATTTGTGAGAATGGAGGTATGTCATGGGTAGAACCGCTTGCTTTTCACTAAAAGTTTTGAGACTTATTCTTTGTGCCTCTTAATGTTTGAGGAAACTATGCTGACAGCAGACGCTTGTAAAATTCTATAGTCCAGTAAATGCCTTATGGCCTTAAATATGATGATAAATTGCTTTTAAGGACAAGTGCTCTGGTAGCTCACGTGGCAGCAGCCATTACCTTGGGTCTGAAGGTTCTGATCCTGTTGAAGAATTGTGTGGAGTTCAGACCGTCTTGGTGTAACAGAGCTGAGGTGCTTGGTGTTTGCTTAGAACAAGTGAAGAGAATACTGATGAAATGTTAAACATCATTTAACAATGTTTTTCTTACGTTGATCTCCCAGGACTTGAGAAGTATGCTGTCTCAATACAGATACCTCTTGCAGATATATATTATGATAGTCTCTAATGGAATAATCACATGCTTGAAACTGAAACAACACAGCAGACAATAAATGTTTTCCTTCAACAGCTTCCTCAGTCATTGCTTATTTTCTTTGTATGTGCCTCCATTTGTTTCTGCCTTTAATTGTTATATGCAATTATTTATTTTGCTATGATTTTTCTCTTTAGATCACTGATATACCTTCATAAACATTACATTAGTTTATTGGGAAGGTAGTATCACTGTGCTCCCTTCCTGTGTAGAGAATTATAGTCACGAAGTTCAGAATTGTCCATTAAATTTGGATGAGCTGCTTGAGTTGCCTCTAATACAATTTTTTTTTTTTTCACAAATGTAAACTTTTTGTAGAGCTTCATAGCAATAGTAAAAATCCCCATCATTATAAGCTGCATTTCAGACTTTGCCTGCCCCATGTCTCAGTTTGCCCTTTTGCCTTTAAAATCTGCTAAAAGGCAAAAGAGAAATTCAGTTGTCAAACCATGAAACCATGTTCCTTTTTTTTTTTTTTTCATGGAATCTTCTAACTCCTTTATGGAAAAAATTTATACGTGCGGTATCTTTTTTTAACAGTCAGAATGAGAAGTCATTCCCACTGATGAAGAAAAGGAAAAATAGGTAGGATCCAGAAGAGTGCACCAGTGGTTCATAGCCAAAAAACCCACCCCAAAGTCAGGAGACATTGACCATGACAGGAAGTATAAAGTTATTCATATATATTCAAATATGCTGGCTAATAGTGGGAACTGTTGGTGGAGGGATAAAGCAGAAAGCTGTCGGAGACATAGCTACGACATATTTGGTACTGCTTGTGGTACAAAATGGTGGATATGTTGACAGGCATCATGAGTGCAACTATTAAGAAAAAGGAAACTACGAGGCTGAGAAAGATGTAATGAAAAGGAAGATCCACAAAAGAAAATACTGGTGGGGATTTTGTTGGATTTGGCTAAAGTGAATCTGCAGGTTTCTTTGTGCAGAACATGAGGACCAAGTCCCATGGGAAGGCAGATTGTGTGAAGAGACACGGGGTGGGGAATCTTGCTGGCTGGAGCCTGCAGCAACCAGGAAGGGCCTTAACTGTTGACAGCCCAAGCAAAGCGTCCTAGGTAGATGAACGCAATTTAAAGTTGGTGTTGTAGGAGCCAATTAAGCTTATAACAGAACTGAAAACAAGATTTGCAGTTGGGTTTATATCAGTGATACGCATGGTAAATGGGAAATTCTCAGTCATGGGGAAAAATGAGATGTAATTGATGTTATTGAAACCTCTTGGGACAATTCATAAAATAAGAATGTGAAATCATTGCTTATAGTCTACCTAAGGACAGAGTGGCTAAAAGGAGTGGAGGACAGTATGCAACATTAAAGACACTGGTACCTGCCTTAAAGTTAATTAGTACAAGGATCTCAAATACATATCAATCAGTCTACTAATTAACAAACCCAAGAGGATAGTACTTATAGGGGTCTGTTGCAAACAGAGAATGAGGTGCATTGCTTCTTGAGCACCTGGCTATAAAAAGCACATAAAGAAAAAATACCGTTGTATGGGAAGCTTATGCTGTAGATTAAATGCAGAAAATGGTGAAATGTAATTAGCCTGAAAATTGTAAATGATAATTTTCTAGCATAAAATGTACTGCATCCAGTACAAGGTCATTTGGTTTGAGCAGCTTTACGGAAGCTTATAGTGAGGAATTCATCTAGAAATTTGTGTTGCTTAGGGACAATCTTCTCCATAATTTTCTAACATTCAGTTCAACCAAAAGATACTTCCAAACAGTGAAATTGCATATTAGAGTGTTCAGGAAGAGTAATTTTCAAAAGCAAAAGGGAAATATGACCAAAACTAACTGGAAGGGGAAGTGTAAACAACAAAAAAGAACAAGAAGAACTTTTTGAGAAAGAAGATAGTGTAAGTACATTCTGTGTCACTGCTGAGACAGAATCAAATAGTATTGAATGAGTGGCAGCTAGTTATGAAGTGTGGGAAAATTAAAGAGAAACTAAAGGGTATGGGCAAATATCATGTTTGCTTAGCTATAAGATGTTGTGTTGTTGTTGTTAAGTAAAATGGGAGTTTTGTAAGATGTTGTGTTGTTGTTAAGTAAAATGGGAGTTTTGATATGGTTTTTATTATCTGAATGTTATTGGCTCATTCTTAGTCAGAGATAGATGAGCTTTTAATAACGATGTGGAAAAGGAAAAGGTTTTGCAAAAAATATTTGTTCTGGGTGAAGCAGAGTGAAATATTTGTTTCACTAAAGGATAATAAAATAACTTGCAGTCTGTTAATCGTTAGCATACATTAAAATAGCCTCTAAATACATTTTGACTCCTTTTGAGCCCTGGAAAACTAGGCTGAGGCCTTTGACTAACTTTTTATTTTTGATAAATGTTGATGTGCAATAGAAATTCCATGGCACTAAAAGAATGCTACTGTGTGCCAATATTAAAAAATAAATAAGCAAAATCTACACAAGCCTGATGACCAGCAGGCTGTCAGTCAGATTTTGGTCCAGAAAGGGTAATGGAGAAGCTGGTTCTGGATTCACACAGTGGATAATTAGAGAATGGAAATGAAATTAATTCCAACCTCCCTGAATGTTTGGAAGAGGTTGAGTTTTGTAGATGCTGTTCTTACTAAGAAATTGGCATTATGCAGTGTCAAGAAAGTATTTGTTAAATGGATTGGTAAGTTAACTAACATACAGAAAGAATTATTGCTAAAGGATTGTTGAGTGTAGCATTTCTAATGAGCACATTTTTATACTAAGCCCATTGCATTAGGTTTTTTTTCCCCGGCAGTTTTGAATATAACATAAAAGCTAGCACAGGTTTGTTCTAAATACAAAGAGTGGTGTGTAGAGGGGAGCAATGAAAATGAGGATGCTGTGTGCAATTTATTTCTCAGCAGAACTGAGATTTTTGGGGAAGAGGGAGGGGGTTTGTTTTGGCTTTTTTAAATCTAAGCAAACACATAATTTTACATCTGGAAATTTGGAACACAAGTCATAGCAACAGGAGGAGGAGACTGTGTCCTAGGCGTAGTTACCTGGACATAGATTTAAACGTTGTAATGAACAGGCGGCTCAAAAGGAGCTTATGGTCCAGTGTTAGAGCATTTAGACCTAATTTCATCTGGGATGGGTAGAGTGGAAATGAACAGGACGGTAGAAAGATTATTTTAATTTTGAAAACATCTCCGATTGTTGGCAGAATGTTAGGTGTGGTTTTGACATCAGAATTTTAGAAAAGACATTGAAAAACCTGAAGAGGCTGTTGAAAAAAACACATATCATTTGAGCTGGAGGATTTGTGCCTTCAGATGTCAGACTTACAGTTCAATTTGTACAGTTTATCAAAAAGAGGACTGGTGGATGATTTTATAATGTACAGCTGTTTTTACAGGACAAAAACACAGGTATTAATGGGCTCCTAAATCTCGTAGAAGAAGGCATAATGAAAACCAGAGACCACAGAGAGATTCAGATTAAAAAAAAAAAGAAGAAAAAGCACCCATTCACACATTTGAAACAGTGAAACAAGCAGCAGAGCCTCTTTGTACTGCGTTTCAGGTCAACACTGGGTGTCATTTTAGGAAGAAGTGTTTGAGCTAAGTACTAGTTCTTAGGCTTAGCTGTCTCTAAAATTCAGGAAATTGTAGGATCTTGAGATCTGTTCTGTCCTTAAACCATCT